TAGTGCCCCATCATTGGTGTCAGTGGGAGGAATAGTGCCCCATCATTGGTGTCAGTGGGAGGAATAGTGCCCCATCATTGGTGTTGGGAGGAATAGTGCCCCATCATTGGTGTCAGTGGGAGGAATAGTGCCCCATCATTGGTGTCAGTGGGAGGAATAGTGCCCATCATCATTGGAATAGTGCCCCATCATTGGTGTCAGGGAGGAATAGTGCCCCATCATTGGTATCAGTGGGGGGGGAATAGTGCCCCATCATTGGTGTCAGTGGGAGGAATAGTGCCTCATCATTGGTATCAGTGGGAGGAATAGTCCCCCATCATTGGTGTCAGTGGGAGGAATAGTGCCTCATCATTGGTGTCACTGGGAGGAATAGGGTCCCATCATTGGTATCAGTGGGAGGAATAGTACCCCATCATTGGTGTCACTGGGAGGAATAGTGCCCCATCATTGGTGTCAGTGGGAGGAATAGGGTCCCATCATTGGTATCAGTGGGGGGAATAGTGCCCCATCATTGGTGTCAGTGGGAGGAATAGTACCCCATCATTGGTGTACCCCCAGTGGGTCAGGAATAGTGCCCCATCATTGGTGTCAGTGGGAGGAATAGTGCCCCGTCATTGGTGTCAGTGGGAGGAATAGGGTCCCTATATCTATCATCTTCTCTTCCATTTCTGAGAATGGTTTTGGCCTCCATGCTTATCTCAGATTGATCTTTTCAATCGAATTCATCCTAAGAAGGCCTAAAACCATATGACCTCTTTAGAAGGGCCGCCATCTTGTTTTGGGCCCGGATGAGATCCTTCTTGGTGTGAAGTTTTACTACAACATAGAACAACTTTCCTGGTTATTAAGCAGAACCTCACTTCATGGAGATGGTACCTCCTGAGCCACACAGGGTGTCGGTGTCAGTGCTGCTCTGCTGTTCCCTCTGGAGATGACATGTTGGTCACATTTGATGAGGCTGAGTGCCAGTAACGTCCTACATGAGTGGAAGATCCGTTCGTTCAGAATGTGGAGAATTCTTCAATATTCCCCGGAAATGACGGACATGCAGACGACTGTACAATGCTGGACTCTCCATCTCCCCGGAAATGACGGACATGCAGACGACTGTACAATGCTGGACTCTCCATCTCCCCGGAAATGACGGACATGCAGATGACTGTACAATGCTGGACTCTCCATCTCCCCGGAAATGACGGACATGCAGATGACTGTACAATGCTGGACTCTCCATCTCCCCGGAAATGACGGACATGCAGATGACTGTACAATGCTGGACTCTCCATCTCCCCGGAAATGACGGACATGCAGATGACTGTACAATGCTGGACTCTCCATCTCCCCGGACATGACGGACATGCAGATGACTGTACAATGCTGGACTCTCCATCTCCCCGGAAATGACGGACATGCAGATGACTGTACAATGCTGGACTCTCCATCTCCCCGGAAATGACGGACATGCAGATGACTGTACAATGCTGGACTCTCCATCTCCCCGGAAATGACGGACATGCAGACGACTGTACAATGCGGACTCTCCATCTCCCCCGGACATGCAGACGACTGTACAATGCCGGACTCTCCATCTCCCCGGAAATGACGGACATGCAGACGACTGTACAATGCTGGACTCTCCATCTCCCCGGAAATGACGGACATGCAGATGACTGTACAATGCTGGACTCTCCATCTCCCCGGAAATGACGGACATGCAGACGACTGTACAATGCCGGACTCTCCATCTCCCCGGAAATGACGGACATGCAGACGACTGTACAATGCTGGACTCTCCATCTCCCCGGAAATGACGGACATGCAGACGACTGTACAATGCTGGACTCTCCATCTCCCGGAAATGACGGACATGCAGACGACTGTACAATGCTGGACTCTCCATCTCCCCGGACATGCAGACGACTGTACAATGCTGGACTCTCCATCTCCCCGGACATGCAGACGACTGTACAATGCCGGACTCTCCATCTCCCCGGACATGACGGACATGCAGACGACTGTACAATGCCGGACTCTCCATCTCCTCGGACATGCAGACGACTGTACAATATCGGACTCTCCATCTCCCCGGAAATGACGGACATGCAGACGACTGTACAATGCTGGACTCTCCATCTCCCGGAAATGACGGACATGCAGACGACTGTACAATGCTGGACTCTCCATCTCCCCGGAAATGACGGACATGCAGACGACTGTACAATGCCGGACTCTCCATCTCCCCGGACATGACGGACATGCAGACGACTGTACAATGACGGACTCTCCATCTCCCCGGAAATGACGGACATGCAGACGACTGTACAATGCCGGACTCTCCATCTCCCCGGACATGACGGACATACAGGCGACTGTACAATGTCGGACTCTCCATCTCCCCGGACATGCAGACGACTGTACAATGCCGGACTCTCCATCTCCCCGGAAATGACGGACATGCAGACGACTGTACAATGCCGGACTCTCCATCTCCCCGGAAATGACGGACATGCAGACGACTGTACAACAATGCCGGACTCTCCATCTCCCCGGACATGCAGACGACTGTACAATGCTGGACTCTCCATCTCCCCGGAAATGACGGACATGCAGACGACTGTACAATGCCGGACTCTCCATCTCCCCGGACATGACGGACATGCAGACGACTGTACAATGCCGGACTCTCCATCTCCCCGGAAATGACGGACATGCAGACGACTGTACAATGCCGGACTCTCCATCTCCCCGGACATGCAGACGACTGTACAATGCCGGACTCTCCATCTCCCCGGAAATGACGGACATGCAGACGACTGTACAATGCCGGACTCTCCATCTCCCCGGAAATGACGGACATGCAGACGACTGTACAATGCTGGACTCTCCATCTCCCCGGACATGCAGACGACTGTACAATGTCGGACTCTCCATCTCCCCGGAAATGACGGACATGCAGATGACTGTACAATGCCGGACTCTCCATCTCCCCGGAAATGACGGACATGCAGACGACTGTACAATGCTGGACTCTCCATCTCCCCGGAAATGACGGACATGCAGACGACTGTACAATGCCGGACTCTCCATCTCCCCGGACATGCAGACGACTGTACAATGCTGGACTCTCCATCTCCCCGGAAATGACGGACATGCAGACGACTGTACAATGCTGGACTCTCCATCTCCCCGGAAATGACGGACATGCAGACGACTGTACAATGCCGGACTCTCCATCTCCCCGGAAATGACGGACATGCAGACGACTGTACAATGCCGGACTCTCCATCTCCCCGGAAATGACGGACATGCAGACGACTGTACAATGTCGGACTCTCCATCTCCCCGGAAATGACGGACATGCAGATGACTGTACAATGCCGGACTCTCCATCTCCCCGGAAATGACGGACATGCAGACGACTGTACAATGCCGGACTCTCCATCTCCCTGGACATGCAGACGACTGTACAATGCTGGACTCTCCATCTCCCCGGAAATGATGGACATGCAGACGACTGTACAATGCTGGACTCTCCATCTCCCCGGAAATGACGGACATGCAGACGACTGTACAATGCCGGACTCTCCATCTCCCCGGAAATGACGGACATGCAGACGACTGTACAATGCTGGACTCTCCATCTCCCCGGACATGCAGACGACTGTACAATGCCGGACTCTCCATCTCCCCGGACATGCAGACGACTGTACAATGCTGGACTCTCCATCTCCCCGGAAATGATGGACATGCAGACGACTGTACAATGCCGGACTCTCCATCTCCCCGGACATGACGGACATGCAGACGACTGTACAATGCCGGACTCTCCATCTCCCCGGACATGACGGACATGCAGACGACTGTACAATGCTGGACTCTCCATCTCCCCGGAAATGACGGACATGCAGACGACTGTACAATGCTGGACTCTCCATCTCCCCGGAAATGACGGACATGCAGACGACTGTACAATGCCGGACTCTCCATCTCCCCGGAAATGACGGACATGCAGACGACTGTACAATGTCGGACTCTCCATCTCCCTGACCTCGGCAGACCATACAATGGCAGACCGGCATTGACACGTTCCTTCTATGGGTACAATTCTCCTGCCACCTCCTAGTCCTCGCACTTCCCCCAGCAACACTTTAATATTCAGAGCTCGTGTTGCTGGTGCTCCTAAGGGGCCCAATCAGGAACTGATATCTCCAGCATCCCGGTGGAGATAGAAATGACATTCCCAAGACTGCTGGAAGGACAATATGAAGAGCTGGAGGCAGATGGTGATGAGGAGTGACAGTTGATGAAACTTGTGGTGACAGCGATCGCCTTGCGGCAGAGAAGTCGAAGCTTTCCTCAAATAGGAGATGAGGTCACACCAGAAAGGGTTCATTCTAGGTCATCCACCCTGGAGGACCCCAGCAACACCCGAGACCAGGGACTACCAGAGATGATCTGGTCATTCATTGTATTCCTTCATGGTGACAATTCCAGATTCCAGGCTGGTCATGGAAGGGGAACTAGACCAATGGCTGGCTTTGTGTAGACGTGTGACCACGGTGTAGACATGAAATGCCTTTCCTCCTCTCTCCTTCTATTCAAATCCCTCAGATAACAGAAATGTAAATGTCTAGAAGTCAGACATGATATACACAATATATTGTCCCCCCCGCCCCCCAATCATGTGATTCAGGTGCTCCAATCCCCTCCATATCATGTGATTCAGGTGCTCCAATCCCCTCTGTATCATGTGATTCAGGTGCTCCAATCCCCCTCTGTATCATGTGATTCAGGTGCCCCAATCCCCTCCATATCATGTGATTCAGGTGTTCCAATCCCCTCCATATCATGTGATTCAGGTGTTCCAATCCCCTCCATATCATGTGATTCAGGTGTTCCAATCCCCTCCATATCATGTGATTCAGGTGCCCCAATCCCCTCCATATCATGTGATTCGGGTGCTCCAATACCCTCTAAATCATGTGATTCAGGTGCTCCAATCCCCTCTGTATCATGTGATTCAGGTGTTCCAATCCCCTCTGTATCATGTGATTCAGGTGTTCCAATCCCCTCTGTATCATGTGATTCAGGTGCTCCAATCCCCTCTGTATCATGTGATTCAGGTGTTCCAATCCCCTCCCAATCATGTGATTCAGGTGTTCCAATCCCCTCCATATCATGTGATTCAGGTGTTCCAATCCCCTCCATATCATGTGATTCAGGTGTTCCAATCCCCTCCATATCATGTGATTCAGGTGTTCCAATCCCCTCCATATCATGTGATTCAGGTGCTCCAATCCCCCTCCATATCATGTGATTCAGGTGCTCCAATACCCTCTAAATCATGTGATTCAGGTGTTCCAATCCTCTCCATATCATGTGATTCAGGAGTTCCATCCCCTCCATATCATGTTATTCAGGTGTTCCAATCCCCTCCATATCATGTGATTCAGGTGTTCCAATCCCCTCCATATCATGTGATTCAGGTGTTCCAATCCCCTCCCAATCATGTGATTCAGGTGTTCCAATCCCCTCCATATCATGTGATTCAGGTGTTCCAATCCCCTCCATATCATGTGATTCAGGTGTTCCAATCCCCTCCCAATCATGTGATTCAGGTGTTCCAATCCCCTCCATATCATGTGATTCAGGTGTTCCAATCCCCTCCATATCATGTGATTCAGGTGTTCCAATCCCCTCCCAATCATGTGATTCAGGTGTTTCAAACCCCTCCATATCATGTGATTCAGGAGTTCCATCCCCTCCATATCATGTGATTCAGGTGCTCCAATCCCCTCTGTATCATGTGATTCAGGTGTTCCAATCCCTCTAAATCATGTGATTCAGGTGTTCCAATCCCCTCCCAATCATGTGATTCAGGTGTTCCAATCCCCTCCATATCATGTGATTCATGGTGTGTTCCAATCCCCTCCATATCATGTGATTCAGGTGTTCCAATCCCCTCCATATCATGTGATTCAGGTGCTCCAATCCCCTCCATATCATGTGATTCAGGTGCTCCAATACCCTCTAAATCATGTGATTCAGGTGTTCCAATCCCTCTCCATATCATGTGATTCAGGTGTTCCATCCCCTCCATATCATGTTATTCAGGTGTTCCAATCCCCTCCATATCATGTGATTCAGGTGTTCCAATCCCCTCCCAATCATGTGATTCAGGTGTTCCAATCCCCTCCATATCATGTGATTCAGGTGTTCCAATCCCCTCCATATCATGTGATTCAGGTGTTCCAATCCCCTCCCAATCATGTGATTCAGGTGTTTCAATCCCCTCCATATCATGTGATTCAGGAGTTCCATCCCCTCCATATCATGTTATTCAGGTGCTCCAATCCCCTCATATCATGTGATTCAGGTGTTCCATCCCCTCCATATCATGTGATTCAGGTGTTCCAATCCCCTCTAAATCATGTGATTCAGGTGTTCCAATCCCCTCCATATCATGTGATTCAGGTGTTCCAATCCCCTCCAATCATGTGATTCAGGTGTTCAATCCCCTCCATATCATGTAATTCAGGTGTTCCAATCCCCTCCATATCATGTGATTCAGGTGTTCCAATCCCCTCCATATCATGTGATTCAGGTGCTCCAATCCCCTCTAAATCATGTGATTCAGGTGTTCCAATCCCCTCCAATCATGTGATTCAGGTGTTCAATCCCCTCCGTATCATGTGATTCAGGTGCTCCAATCCCCTCCATATGATGATTCAGGTGTTCCAATCCCCTCCCAATCATGTGATTCAGGTGTTCCAATCCCCTCCATACCATGTGATTCAGGTGTTCCAATCCCCTCCATACCATGTGATTCAGTGTGTTCCAATCCCTTCCATATCATGTGATTCAGATGTCCCAATCCCTTCCATATCATGGGATTCAGGTGTCCCAATCCCCTCCATATCATGGGATTCAGGTAATCCAATCCTCTCCGTATCATGTGATTCAGGTGTTCTAATCCCCTCCGTATCATGTGATTCAGGTTTTCCAATCCCCTCCAATCATGTGATTCAGGTTTTCCAATCCCCTCCATATCCTGACAAATGTGCTTCTGGAAGAATGGTCCAACCTTCCCCATAGACACCCTCCTAAACCTTGTGGACGGCCTCCCAGAAGAGTTGAAGCTGTTATAGCTGCAAAGGGCGGGGCCAACTCAATATTGAACCCTACGGACTAAGACTGGGGAGCCATTAACGGTCATGTGTGTGGAAAGGGCGGGGCCAACTCAATATTGAACCCTACGGACTAAGACTGGGGAGCCATTAACGGTCATGTGTGTGGAAAGGGCGGGGCCAACTCAATATTGAACCCTACGGACTAAGACTGGGGGCCATTAAAGGTCATGTGTGTGGAAAGGGTGGGGCCAACTCAATATTGAACCCTACGGACTAAGACTGGGGAGCCATTAAAGGTCATGTGTGTAGAAAGGGCAGGGCCAACTCAATATTGAACCCTACGGACTAAGACTGGGGGGCCATTAAAGGTCATGTGTGTGGAAAGGGCGGGGCCAACTCAATATCGAACCCTACGGACTAAGACTGGGGGCCATTAAAGGTCATGTGTGTGAAAGGGCGGGGCCAACTCAATATTGAACCCTACGGACTAAGACTGGGGGGCCATTGAAGGTCATGTGCGTGGAAAGGCTGGCCCAATACTTGGGGCAATATAGGGTATACACTGTGGGTCCATCTGTATTGTTGGGGGAAGACTGACATTGTTGCTCTGCGTCAGCCATGTTCATTACCTCAACACCCAATTCCTGCAATGAGAACAAGAAATGTCCCTCTAAGGGTCCAATATACTGTGGAGAGGTAGGTGACTGTCCACCGATGGGACCATAGCAGTGGCAGCATGATACCGCCCTCAGGAACAGTCCACGATAGGTATCTATGTGATCTCATGCTGGACGGGGTGGAAAGGCCGGGAGCCCAATACTTTTGCCCATGGTCGGGCCGCCCGCTGTCACCCCCACCATTTGTGATGGAGATGCCGAGATTCGTCCAAACCCTAATATGCAGGGAGTTCAGAGCGCGGGAATTCATCACAAATGCGCACTTTTCCCGGAGATCTCCCCGTCACCACCTTGCCTAACTTAATTAAACTTCCGAGAGTCTGGTGAACTGTCTGGTCTTCAGGCCAATCCAACCAAATCAGAAGACTCAACATTACCCCCCCCCCCCCACCACCACCACCACCACCACCAGATCTTCTCCAGAACTCCTTCCCCTTCACTTGGCGATATCCCACTTTGGAGGAGGGGCTAAAGATATGGTTGAGATACAGGGGTTGGACAAAAATTGGGGAAACCCTCCATGACTGGTAGGTGTGAAAGTGACGCCATGTTTGGTGGTGAAAGCAGAAGTGATGGAACATTCTTTGGCTTCCGCTGTGTGATGAGACACCTAGCTAACACTTTCCTCACTCGCTGTCTGCGCTGCTTCTAATACGGAGTCATGTCAGAGCTGATCGAGCTTCACAGAGGCCGAATTGTTGGTGCCGCTCAGCTGGCACCAATGTATTTGCCGTGTTGGGAGGTTCAGTGTGAAAGGTTATGGCGGCGTATACAGCTTCCAGGAAAATGGCATCTGATGAGAATAAGCCCCGCCCCACATGGTCACCTGACCGAAAGAGACAAAAGGACATTGCGCAGGATTGTGACCCTGAATAAGGAGACAACAAAAGTGACTGCAGAGCTCAATCTCAGTCTTCACGGGTTCCAGTACCGCACCGGGCCTGGGCTGACCACCGCACATACAGGAGGATCAGCGCCCATGGGACGCGGGAATTGCCGCAGTTCAATAAAACGTAGTGACAGTGGTTGTATGACTTAATGGCGCCGCCGGATCCATCATGGCGGCACGTGATTGGTTTGTTCTCATCAACTCCATGAAATATTTTATTTTACATGAAAGCTAAATAATCCGAAGATAAACCGCAAAAAATGCCGAACGGCACAGACATGAGGTGGGAGGGGCCAGGGAAGAGAGGTCTGCGGTCTGCTGGTGAGTCAGCCGGAGACAAAACTCTGCAACAATAATTAGCTGGAAATAAAGAACAATGAGAAATGTCCTCAGCCCAGATCTGCCCTGAGAGAGTCCTCTGTGAGAGGAGAGGAGAGGAGAGAGGAGGGGAGAGGGGAGAGGAGAGGAGGAGAGAGGGGAGAGGAGAGGAGGAGGGGAGAGAGGAGAGGAGGAGAGAGGAGGAGAGAGGATGAGGGGAGGAGAAAGGAGGGGAGAGAGGAGGAGAGAGGAGAAGAGAGGAGAGGAGAGGAGAGAGGAGAGGGGAGAGGAGAGAGCAGAGGAGAAGGGGACAGAGGAGAGGAGGAGGTGAGAGAGAAGAGGAGGAGGGGAGAGAGGATGAGGGGAGGAGAAAGGAGGGGAGAGAGGAGAGAGAGAGGAGAGAGAGAGGGAGAGAGGAGGAGAGGGGAAAGGAGAGGAGGGGAGAGGAGAGGAAGGGAGGAGAGGAGAGAGGAGGGGAGGAGAGGAGGGGAGGAGAGCATAGGAGAGGGGAGAGGAGGAGGAGGGGAGAGGAGAGGAGAGAGGAGAGGAGAAGGGGAGAGAGGAGAGAAGGAGGGGAGAGAGGAGAGAGAGAGGAGGAGAGGGGATGAGAGGAGGGAGGGGAGGGGAGGAGAGTAGAGAGAGAGGAGAGCGGGAGGAGAGGGGAGAGGAGGGGGGGAGAGGAGAGGAGAGGGAGGGGAGGAGAGGGGAGAGGAGAGGAGAGAAGAGGAGAGGGGGGAGAGGAGGGGAGGAGAGGAGGAGGAGAGGAGGAGAGGGGAGAGGAGGGGAGAGGAGGGGGAGAGAGAGAGAGGGGGAGGGGGGAGAGGAGAGAGGAGGAGAGGGGAGAGGCGGAAAGGGAGGGGAGAGGAGAGAGGAGGGGGAGGGGATGAGAGGAGAGAAGGGGAGAGAGAAGAGGAGGAGAGGAGGGGAGGGGAGAGGAGGAGAGAGGAAGAGGGGAGAGGAGAGATGGAGAGGAGAGGAGAGAGGAGAGGAGAGAGGAGAGGAGAGGAGAGGAGGAGAGAGGGGAGGAGAGAGGAGAGGAGAGAAGGGGGAGAGAGGAGAGGAGGAGGGGAGAGAGGAGAAAGGAGGGGAGAAGGAGAAGGAGGAGAGGAAGGAGAGGGGAGAGGGGAGGAGGGGAGGAGAAGAGAGGGGGAGGGAGGGAGGAGGAGGAGAGGAGGGGAGAGGAGGGGGGGAGAGGAGGGGAGGAGAGCGTAGGAGAGGGGAGAGGAGAGGAGAGGAGGAGAGAGGAGGGAGAGAGGAGGGAGAAGGGGAGAGAGGAGATGAGGGGGGAGAGAGAGGGAGGGGGGGAGGAGAGGAGGAGAGGGAGAGGGGAGGGGAGAGGAGAGTAGAGAGGGAGAGGAGGGGGGAGAGAGGAGAGAAGGGGAGAGGAGGGGAGGAGGGAGAGGGAAAGGGAGGAGAGGAGGGAGAGGAGGGAGAGGAGAGGGAGAGGAGAGGGAGGGGGAGAGGAGAGGAGAGGGAGGAGGAGAGGAGGGGAGAGAAGAGGAGGGGGGAGAGGGGAGGAGGAAAGGAGGGGAGGAGGGAGGAGAGGGGAGGAGAGGAGAGAGGGATGAGAGGAAGGGAGGGGGGAGGAGAGGAGAGGAGAGAAAAGAGGGAGAGGAGGAGAAGAGAGAGGAGGAGAGAGAAGAGAAGGACAGGGGAGGAGGAGGAGGAGAGAAAAGGAGGAGAGAGGAGAGGAGGAGAGAGGAGGAGAGAGGAGAGGAGGGGAGAGGAGAGAAGTGAAGAGGAGAGGAGGGAGGGGGAAAGGAGAGAGGGAGGGGAGTGGAGGAGGGGAGGGGAGAGGAGAGGGGAGGAAAGAAAAGAGGAGGGGAGGGAAAGGAGGAGAGGGGAGGAGGAGGGAGGAGCGAGGGAGAGGAGGGGAGGGAGAGGAGGTGAAGAGGTGAGAGAGCAGGGGATAGAGGAGAAGAGGAGGAAAGGAGAAGAGGGAGGAGGAGCAGAGAGAGGAGGGGAGAGAAAAGAGGAGCGGGAGAGAGGAGGAGAAGAGGGGGGGATGTGGAGGAGAAAGAGAGGAGAGGACAGAGGGAGTGAGAAGGGGAGGAGAGGAGAGATGAGAGGAGAGGAGAGAGGAGAGGGAGGAGAGGAGGAGAGAGGGAGGAGAGAGGAGAGGGAAGGGGAGAGAGGAGAGGAGGAGGGGAGAGAGGAGAAAAGGAGGGGGAGGAGGAGGAGGAGGAGAGGGGAGAGGAGAGGAGGGGAGGAGAAGAGAGATAGAGAAGGGGGAGGAGAGAGGAGAGGGAGGGGAGAGGAGGGGAGGAGAGGAGAGCGTAGGAGAGGGGAGAGGAGAGGAGAGGAGGAGAGAGAGGAGGGGAGAGGAGAGGAGAAGGGGAGAGAGGAGATGAGGAGGGGAGAGAGGAGGGAAGGGAGGAGGAGAGGGAGAGGAGAGAGGAGAGGGGAGAGGAGAGTAGAGAGGAGAGGAGGGGAGGAGAGAGGAGAGAAGGGGAGAGGAGGGGAGGAGAGCGGAGGAGAGGAGAGGAGAGGAGGAGAGGAGGGAAGAGGTGAGAGGAGAGGAGAGGGGAGAGGAGGGGAGAGGAGGAGAGAGAGGAGAGGAGGGGAGAGAAGAGGGAGGGGAGAGGAGAGGAGGAAAGGAGAGGAGGATGAGGAGAGGGGAGGAGAGGAGAGAGGATGAGAGGAAGGGAGGGGAGGAGAGAGAGGAGGAGAGAAAAGAGGAGAGAGGAGGAAGGGAAGAAGAGAGGAGGAGAGAGAAGAGAAGGACAGGGGAGGAGAGAGAGAGAAAAGGAGGAGGAGAGAGGAGAGAGGAGGAGGAGAGAGGAGGTGAGGAAGAGGAGAGGAGAGAGGAGGGAAAGGAGAGAAGGAGAGGGGAGAGGAGGAGGGAGGGAGGAGAGGAGAAGGAGAAAAGAGGAGAGGAGGAGGGGGGAGGAAGAGGAGAGGGGAGAGAGGGGAGGAGAGAGGAGGAGAGGAGGGGGAGAGGAGAGTGAAGAGGTGAGAGAGCACGGGGATAGAGGAGAAGAGGAAAGGAGAAGAGGGAGGAGGAGC